TGCTGCAAGGGCCCTTTAAAAAAAAAAAAAAAAAAAAAAAAAAAAAAGGACAACACTCAGGATGCTGAGGCAGGAGGATCACCTGAGTTCAAGAGTTAAAGGCTGTTTTGGGTAACATAGGGAGATGCTGTTTCAAATAAAGAAACAAACAAGATAATGCCGGTAAGGATGTGGAGAAGAGCGAACCTGTATACACTGCCGGTGGGAATGTAATTTGATAAAGTCACTATGAAAAAGAGCATGGAGGTTTCTCAAAAAACTAAATAGAATTACTGTCTGATCATTTGTGATCACACAGCACACCCAAAGGAAATACAATCGGGATCTGGACAAACCCCCACGTGCACGCCCAAGTCTAAGACAGGTAAATAACACACGCGTCTACCAACAAACTGATGGGTAAGGAAACTGTGCTTTGTCAGTACAATGGAACAGTATTCAACTTCAAAAAGGAAGAAAATGTCAGCCATGGCGGCACGTGCCTCTAATCCCAGCACTGGAGGAGGCCGAGGCGGGAAGATCATCAAGTTCACACAAGCCCAGTCTGGGCAACTTAGTGACACCTTGTCTCAAAATTTAAAAATTTAACAAGAGCTGGGGATGTAGCTCAGTGCAAAGGCCCCGAGTTCAGTGGGCAAAGCAAGTGACATAAGCCAGACACAGATGTAAACAGCGCATGAGCTCACATGTGAAATCTAAGAGCCAAACTCGCAAAAGCAGAGTACAACAGAGCAGCCAGGGGAGCAGAGTACAGGACCTGGGGAGATGGAGGTCAGAAGGCACAGACGTCAGCTGTGCAATCTTACACGCAGTGCCCACAGCTAACACTACTGAATTGTACACGTAAAGCATGCAGAGGGTGCGTCTCATGCTGTCTTTTTACCAAATTGGAAAAAAGGATAAAGGGAGCAGGAGGAAACCTCAGGAGGTGAGGGATGTGCTCGTGGCCGTCACGGTGGTGATGGTTTCCAGGTGCACACTTACCCACAAACTCAGAAGAGTGTGTGAACTAAACCTGTGCAGCGTTCAATGTGCCGACTGTGCTTCAGTAAAGTGGTTGCAAAGACAATTAAACCTACTCACAAGAAACGTACAGTCTAGCTGCAGATGACAGGTGGTCTTAAAACAAGTAAGGAGTGAATGCTCTGTCTTCTCCAAACAAAACGGACCCTGAAGTCGGAGCGTGCCACATGGGGCAGGGCAGCGGGCGGCAGCCTCTAAGAGGGACAACGGGAGCCGAGCCTGGGGTCAGCCAGGACGAGACAGGCAGAATGCGGAGTGCACGCACAGGAGACGCGGGAGGCCAGCCAGCGAGAGGCGCAGCGCCCAGGGGCTTCTGTACACAGGCACTGGGTGCGCCCCCTCCCTCCCCCTGGGCAGCGGAGGGAAGAGCTGGGACAGGCGCATGGCTCTGAAACACCACACCCGGGCGTACACTCGGGGCTGTGCTCGTGACATGCTCCTTCAGTCCCGAGAACTTCCTTTAGTCTTTGTGTAAGGAAGGTCTACTAGCAATACAATGACTCCGTCTTTGTTCATACAGGCCTGTATTTTGGCTTTTGCCCTCTTTTTTTCTTCAACACTGGGAGTTGAATTCAGCGTATTGTATATGCTAGGTAAGCACTCTACCACAGAGCCATATCCCCCAGCCCTCTTTATTTTTTTCTGAGACAGACTCTTGCAAAGTTGCCTAAGCTGGACTTATTCTTGCAAACTTCTTGCCTCATCCTCCCAAGTAGCCTGGATTACAGGTATATACCACCTTGCTTGGCTTGAGCTTCATTTTTGAAGAATAGTTTGGCTAGATAATGAATTCTTGGTTCTCTTGAGACTATTTCATCCCTCTATGGTTTCTGGAGAGCAGAAGCCACACACACACACACACACACACACACACACACACACACACACACGCACAATTTTGAGACAGGGTCTATGTAGTTCAGCTGGCCCTGCTTTCACTCTATTGCCCAGATTGACCTTGAACTCACAGATCTTCCTGCCTCACCCTCCCAGGTCCTGGGATTAGAGGTGTGCACTGCCACATCAGGCGGTTAGTCTTATTTGCGGCTTTCTTACACATGGCTTAAAGATTTTCCTATTTCTTCAACAATTTGACTATGGCGTGTCTTGGTGCAGATCTGTTTACCCTACTTGGAGTACACTAACTTTCCTGGACATATGAGTGTTTCTCAACAAAAGTAGGAGGTTTTCAGACATGTCCAAAAATAAATATATTTTTTTACCTTCCTTCCTTTTTCCCCTTCAGGGACCAGTGCATGTATGCGGGCATGCTTGATATCCACGGTCTCTCACTTTTCATTCTGTTCTTTAGACTGCCTTAAACATGCTGACTGTTCCTACCCCCATCTCAGATCTGCTGTTGAATCCACCCAGTAATATCCATTAATTTCTGTTTTTGGTTATTCTCTCTTGTAACTGTTATTTTCTCTGGGTTGTTTTGGTTTCTCAAATTCTTAAAGTGGATATTTAGGATACCAATTTTCTGCTTTTTTTCTTTTCTAATACAAGCATTTAAATAAATAAATAAACTTTTAGGGCTGGGAATTTAGCTCAGCGGTTCTACCACCTGCCTTGCAAATGCAAGGTCCCAAGTTCAATCCCCAGTACCCTGCCAAAAAAGAAATACATAAATAAACTTTCCACCAAATACTGATTTAAATGCATTTCGTCAATTCTGATATGTAATATTTTCACTATATAACCAAAAAAAATTTAACTTCTATTGTGATTTGCCCTTTTACTTAACTTGTACGTGTGGGATTTTACTGCTCTGTTACTGATTCCCAGCTTCCTCCCATGGTGGCCAGAGAAGCCACTCCACGTGTTCGGGGCACGGGCAGTGTGCTCCCGACAGGGAAAAGTGAACTTTTTCCCTAATCATTCACATCCTTGTCGACTCTTTGGTCTTTCTGATGTTAGTCACCATCTGAGGAGTGTTAAAATCTCCCTAATCACGGGGGACTTGTGAATAGTTTCTTCTATTTCTTTCAGATTTTCTTATTCGAGATTGTGTTAGAAGGTATGGGTATGTTATCCTCTCCAGGTGAACAGAGGAGAACCTACCCTATGTATGTATACTGTGTAACTGAGGGCACTCTGTATGTCCCCCCCACACACATTACACACTTGCTTTCAGGCTTGGTCTCATCTTACACCGAGATTGCTCATGTGTAAGAAGTCCATTCTGGGAATACTGCCTCTTAACTGGGTCATTCAGTCCGCTGTATTTACCATCACTGAATGTGTTTGGATGTGTCTTATGTTTTTATTTTTGTGTTTCTCTGCTCTCTCTTCTCGCCATTCTTTGGCTCATTTTCACATTCCACTTCATGCTATAGAAATGGTGTAGGAACACACTCTCTTCTATCACCCCAAGCCATGCTAGAAAATTCAAAGCCGTAACTGTAGGAGCCTAACGCGAACCTCTGCTTTCCTCTCTGCCTGGAAGGACCTCAATACCACATGCGCACTTGCTTCCTCCCAGCCTGCGCGTCTCTGCCCCTGGTGTTTCCGCTCTGTCCCTGGCTCCTGCTGGGTCTGCAGTGATAGCTCTTCAGACCCAGCACAGGTCAGCCCCTCTGAGACCATCACTCTTACAAGGTCGGGTCTCCCCCGGCCACCCTCCTCCAGGACACCCCTTGGAACCACTCAGCGGGAGCCGACTCTGAGTTTCGTTTGTCCGAAATGTCTTTATTTCACCCTAGCTCTTGAAACACGAGGGAAGGGCAGACGGGTCTGGCTGGTACATGTCTTCCCTTACAGCAAGAGGCTGTCAGTCACACCGGTGCCTTGAAGGCGGCAGCTCCGAGGACCTCCTCCATCTTTATTCTGCCCTCCTCACGGTGCTACGTCCAGCTGTAGCTCTCTCTTGATTGATCCTGCTTACAACCACGTGAGCTTCTCATTAAGGCTTGTGTTATGGCTTGGTTCTCGACGTCCCCTCAAAGCTTCAGGTGGTCACAGGTGGTTTTTTTCAGAGATGGCTGAGTCTAGAGTGTGTGACGCTGGGATTAAGGGCATCTGATTACTAAACCAGGACACTGATTGGTTCGGCACCGCCCTAAGCCCTGGTAGTCTGGACAAAAGGGGCAGAAAGACGCTGTTAAGGTCCCTTGTCACTTTTGTTACTGTATGGATGCCATGAACTGTTTCTCCTCTGTGGTGCCCCCTGCCATGTGCCACCCTGCCTCGGAGCCACGGATTATGGACTGAAACCTCTGCAACCTGGGCTAAATAAATGCCTTCTCCTTTAACTTTGGGTGTCACGTATTTTGTCTCAGCAATGAGAGAAAAGTACCCAAGACAGGTTGGTTTCTGCATCAGTGTGGGCAATTTCCCAGCCTTTATCTCTTCAAGGGTTGCTTCTGTGACATTCGCATTCCTATGTGTCCAGAACACAGACTGTGGTAGGATGAGTTCTTAGTGTATCCTCTGCATCCCTCGCCTGCTCAAAGCTTCCACCTCTGTCTCTTTGCACTTTGCTTTACATAATTTCTGCAGATCGATTTTATTATTATTTGACTGTGTACAATCTGCTGTCGAATTGACCTAATGTATAATTGCAGCTAATTCTAATGTTCATTTCCAGAAACACAAGTTGATCCTTTTTTCAGATCTCTTACTCTTTACTCACAGGCCAATCCCTTCTGGGTTCTGTTTTGGTTTTGGTTCTTGATGCAGGGGATCAAAGCTGGGGCCCAGTATATGCCGGGCACACGCTGTTCCACTGTGGGGCGCTCCCACCTGTGGCACCTCCTGCAGGTCTGATGATGCAAGCCTGCCATTCCTGCTGCCGGTCACTGGCGATGTCTGTCCCTCTTCTTGTACTGTTAAGATCGGAGCATGGGCCCTGGAGTGCTATCTGTAAGAACTCTTTAAGGACTTGGCTGAAGTCAAAGAATCCTCCAGAAAGAATTTGCATTTTCTCTAAATGAGACCTGTATTAGTCAGGGTTCTGCAGAGAAACAGAACCAAGAGGAAGTGAGAGTGGATGAACGGATGACTGGCAGCTGGAGAGATGGGGAGATGTGTAATGAAGATTGGCTCACACAATCACAGGCCACCAAGTCCCAAGGTGTGGAGCCAGCCCGCCAGCTGGAGACTGGAGCTGGAGGGGAGCTGATGCGCAGTTCCAGGCTGAACGCCCGAAGGCTGGAGAACCAGTGAGAGCTGTTTCCTTTGGACTCTAAAGGCAGGAAAACAGTGTCCCAGCGCAACATCCAAGGAGGAGGGAGCTGCCTCTTACTCCTCCTTTCTGCCCCACTCATGCTGTCAACTGACCGAGCAAGGCCACCACATCGGGGAGCACGATCCACTTCCTCCGGTCCACTGATGCCAGCACTAATCTGTCCCCAAATACCCTCAGGACACACTAGAACATCTCGCCAGATGCCTGGACACCCCACGGCCTCAGAAGACTGACACAGAATCCACCAGCACAGGGAACACCCAGTGCTTGGCTCTAAAGCTTCAGACCACTGTGTATCAGCCTCTGCTGGTCAATGCGCAGGAGGACCCCACTGTGGCAGCACCAGAGGTCAAGGCAAGTGGCTCTCCCCAGGCCCTCGGGGCTGGGGGCGGGTCTTTGCCTTGCCCTTACACCACAAGAAGCACCCTTGGCAGCTCCCGGTTAGGCTGTGGCTGGGTGGGACCCGGCTTTGGTCCTGTTCCCTGTGCCCTGTGGACCATGAACACTAAAGGCCAAGTTTGAGCAAGAAGCTCAGCTCTTGTGAACCTCTGTCCTCCCACTTCTGTGTGGCCTCACTGCTCAGGGTGTAATTACCTCTTTTGCTAGCTCCCGGGAACATTTTTAAAATGTTTTCTGCCCCCCCACCCAACACCTCGCTCAGTGAGGAGAGCTGCATGGGTGGGCTCCCTCACACCTCCACTCCTCAAGTGTGCTGAAACTGGTCACTGCCTCGTACCACTCGGACGCCGGACGGTGCGTGCCTCTGTGCCCACTCAGCGCTGCAACGCAGGCAGGAAATGCGGCACCATGGCTGCGAGGGCAAGCCTAGCGCTGTCTGCAGCGGTTACATAACATGTGGTCGCCATCCCGATACACTCTGTCCTCGTCAGCTATTTGCTAGAGTTCTGTGCCAGTTTTGTGGCTTAAGAGGAATGTGAAGAATCTGGGCCAAGCCTGGGAAAAAGCCAGCCACGCAGATGGACAAGAGAAGGAAAACAAAAGGCAGCAAAAGTTAGCAGGAGTGAGAGGATCTGGTCAAGGGTGAACAGCTGGTTCTAAAGACTGCATCACGGAGTTATCTAGGCAAAGCAAGATACAGGGCAATAAGTTTCCACTGCAGCACAAATACTCAGATTAGATATAAGATGGAAAATGAACACCTATGTGATACCTACTGTTGTCAGGTATTGAGACCCAGAGGTAAATATTCCCACTTTACAGATCAGAAAAGCAGGATTCTCAAATGTTAGTTATGTACAAAAGTGGTCACTCAAATCCGGGTTTAATGAATTCTTTACATACATCAAACCTCCTATAATCCCAGCATTCAGGAGGCTGAGGCAGGAGGATCACTGTGAGTTCGAGACCAGCCCAGGCTAGTGAATTCCAGGTCAGTCTCAACTACATAGTGAGACCCTGTCTCAAAGACAAGACAAAACAAAACAAAACAAAACATCAAACCTGTGTTCTTTACATACCTCAAATTTCCCAACAAGGCAAATGGAGAAGTAGGAATTCACTGTGAGGGGTTAAAAAAGAATTTTCCTCCAGATCTTTTAAAAATGAAGAGATTATTAATAGTCTAGTATATTTCATCAAATCCATCTAACTAAAAGCAACCAGTTTTCAAATTCTCTCCTGGTCCTAAACAGTCGTGGCCACCCAGATCCTGAAAACATCATTGCCAGTGCCAAGGAGCACACAATATTTTTCAGGCAACAATTTTTGTTCCTATTTCTCTATTCTATGATAAAATACATATTCACCTTTCTAAAACACATATAAAATTTTGGATCAAACTTAAAGTAATTCCATACATAACTAGCTGTCAAACACCCTAGGCCTGAGGCCTTGTTTTATTTGACTCAGCATGAAGAATTACAAAGATAACATGCAGGAGGATCTGGCAATGGGTTTGTGGGATGCCGGCTATGCTCACTGTCTTCAAAGGAGTTATTTTCTTATCTGCATGGCTAAGAAAGCCAGCGAGGCTCTGGAAGCAGAAAGCCGCACGCAGACAACTTGACAACACCCATCTGCTCCGTGACTCAGGTGAAGGGGAAAGTCCCGCCACATCAAAGAGCACAGTCCCTAGTGAGTGTCAGGGTGGAGCACTCTTGGCTAAAAGCTTGCGTATGCTCCTTTTCTGAGAAGCAAACAGCTTGAAGAAGGCTGCCAAGGGCTTGCTGGCGGCAAGGCAGCCCAAATAGACTCAGGTACACTGTTTCAGGGCCGCTGTCCCTGCAAAACCAAGCGAAGCCTGAGCCTTGCCTGGAACAAAGGGTTCCACCCAGAGGCCCTGTCTGCCAGGGGAGTCCAGGGGCAAGGTGAGGGGTCAGGGCTGAGCCAGGTAGCCTGAGCTCAGTGCCCTCAGAGGCAGGCTGTTTGCCAGTGTGCAAGACCCTGGGCTCTATCCTCAGCAATGCCAAGAACAAAACAAAACAGACAAAAGACAGCAAGCAGCTTTGCCTCTGTGTGTCTTGGCCTCTCATCTACGAAAGAGAAACGGGGATGCCTCACCCAGCCTTGAAGCGGCCGGACAGGGAGCACACGCGATGGACGCACAGCCGTGACTCAGCTGGGTCTTCTCATCCAGTGGCTCCACTCCTGAACCTGCCACTCTGCCTGTGCGAGGCCCAGCAACTCCCTCCGACTCCACGATCCAGAGAGGAAAAGCTGCTTGATCAAGTATTCAACCTGAGGGTGGAGTACACGTTTAGGCCCTGCACCTGCCCTGGAAACATGGGATGTCTGCGGTTTGCCCCCGTGTGAGCTAACAAGGGACCTGCTATAGTTTGACGTTGGCAGAAAACATAGATTTTTTTTTTTTGAGGTACTAGGGACTGAACCTGAACCCAGGGCCTTCACACTTAGCTACATTCCTAGCACTTCTTAAGAGTTTACTTCTTCAGTTTTAATTTTTTTTTTTTTTTTTTTGAGAGAGAGGCCCTTGCCAAATTGCAAAGACTGGGCTCAGCCTCCCAGAGTGCTGGGATTACAGGCATGCACCACTATGCTGGCAAGACATGGATTCCTGAGTCTGAGACAAAGAACTTCCTACCCACAACCATGCCAGAGAGCTACTCAGCATGTGCCACTCAAGACCCAGTGCAACAGGTCCACCCAGGCTGGGGCTGCGTCACAGCACAGGACGCCACTGCCAGGACAGCCAAATCCCATAGCACAGGTGGAGAGTCTGCCTGCCTGGCTCAGAAGGCTTGCCCCGTGCCCTGGGAGGAAATATCTCGCAGCTCAGTGTAAAGGCTCTGGATTCAATCCTCAGGACTGCAAGACAAAAAAAAAAAAAAAAAAAAAAA